GACTTTGTGACTCGATAGATTTAACGTGCATCAGTCATCAATTACTATAAGGGGAATAAATCGGGACTGGTGCATATGATAAACTAAATATTATAAACAGCTAAGGGGTATTCTAGTTTGTTTTTTTACCACATTTTATCAATTACAACAGGTGGGTAGCCGATAAATCCTGGTTGGCAGAGCACAGGACTTACGTTCATGAGAAAGGGAGTTCGAATCCAACTGGTCGAAGACTCCCCTTATGCTTTAGACTGGTGCACGTTAAATCTGTTGGATCACAAATTACTGAATGTTCCCATAACAAATTATACCTCTAAGAATACTGAACTGGAGATTGTTTATTCTCTGGTTCAGGTCAAAATTAAGATCTGTGGATGAATAAATAGATGTATGAATGGGTCCGCTCTATAAACGAGTGCGACGTGTGGGTGTGGCAGAAGTCGAATTCTTGGTCATAAATGGCGTCTCTGGAAAACAAGAACAATCAGACCTATTGCCTTAATGGCATACGACAACAACAATAGGAGGGCTCCTAAACAAAAGAGAGTTCGTTGCGCACTGTGACGACTTTATTCTACCATGGTCAACTCGTTAGGCGGCAGTTTTGTAATAAATGATTAAGGAAAGCGGAGTAATTTCACTGGAGGTAGATCCAGAATACCCTGAAGTGTTAAATGAAACACCTTAGGTTGTTGAATAAATACTTCCACAGGTGTGAAAAAATATATTTCAAGGTATAAGTAATAACCTAAGGTTGAAAACGAAACACCTTAAAGTAGTAAATATCTACTTATCCACGAATGTAAGATGAATCACCTCAGGTTGATACATAATATGGAGGTATATTTGAGGTAAATTCTGAGGTATTTATTTGCACCTTTTTCACCCTAATGACGTATATCGTTGAAAAATACCTTATTTATACCTCAAAAATACCTCAATTTTTCCGTCAGGGATTTGTGATTTGCTTATTTTTTCTGACAAGATGAAGCAGAGGGGTTCGATAAATGCTAGAAGAATATATTTTTTCAAAAGCAAAATTAAAATAAATTGTGGCTGTCGAAAGGCGATCACTGGTTATCCATTGGCAAAATGATTGTTGTCAATTTTTCTTTTCTTTTCTTTTTCTTGCTTCCCCTCTAACCTTTGGGACCGTGTCAATCAGTTTGGGATCTTTTTTATTTGTGATATTCACCTGAATTATTATTGAAAACGATCCAGTTTGAGCTGTAGGCTACGCATGCAATGACGACGCATGTGCACTGTTTACTACTACTCTTGAACACATTTGATGACATCCAAACAAGGAGCGCACGCCATCAAACCTAAGACAACACCCATTTTGCCAATCGGTAAAAGGTTTAAAAAAAATTTCAAATTCGGAGTAAATCTGGAATTTGCGGAAAGAAAAAAATTGGAAAAAATTTTCTTAAAGGAGTTTCGGAAGTCAAGAGAGAACACAAAAGATTTGCAAAGAAATGTTATAAAATGAATTAGAACGTAGATTTACGGAAAGAGTGGTTATCTTGCTTTGCGTTTTATAGCCATTCAAAATCTGAAGCAACCGGAAGATAAAGCCATTTCTTTAAGTGTGAAAACAGCTGGTGCGATTTTTCAACTTATTTATTTTCCATAATCATCTCTAAATGACAGGTTAGTGAACTCGTTTATGTTTGTACAAGTGTTGGAAATAGTTAAAAGGCGATTATTCCTGTATTTGAGCACCTGTTAAGTAAGGGGTTAAGGAAGCAGATTTTTGACAATCTACCTCCCTCTTGTCAGTAAACATGCTTACTAAGTAGAAAATTGTGCCACGCTCCCTTATAAATCGCTGAAACTATTGTTAAGTTTTTAAATATTGCTGATGAAAGGATTTTATTGTCAGTAGAAAATCTAAAATCAAGGAGGAAATCAAGGAAATAAAGTTAGGCATCAAGGTAGAAATGACAAATGATCTTTCTCAATCACTTCAATGACAGTCAAACACATTATATCGGAGATATTCATATAATTAAGGGTGGGTAGACAAATCTTTCAACAAAAAATAAGCACCTTTTAAATACCTTTTAAGCACTCAAAAATATTTTTAAGCACTATGTATACATTAACAAAATGCAAAATAATATTCAAAGGCTTTATATGATCATGATAAAATAACTAGTTTCTGACAGAGATTATATAGGCCATTATAAAATGATCGAGAGATATTTTTGGTTCGATATCAGAGGGTGGAAAATGAAGCCTGAAATGGAGAATATCTTGCAAAATACAGCAGAGTTGCACATGAGAGTGCAATAATTTCACCGAACCTAGCTCAGTAGACGCACATGCAGACTCGCACGTATTTCATCTAACATGTAAAATGATGGGCGCTTTCATACGCTATTGGACCGACGGTTGGTCGAAATGGATTGTGGTTCAATGAATTGTTGAAACGTTGAATAGAACAATGTGTGAACCACACTTTTGCATAATACGTGGCGAAAATCGAAAGAAAAAAATTCTCATTTTTTGAAAAGGGAAAATTAACGGAACCACACAATGAAAAACGTACCTTTATGAGGCTTTCAAAAAACGAAAATCAGAAATAAGCACCTTTAAGCACTTTTTAAAAACGCTATGCACCATGTAATTGGAATGCCGTGTCATTTTGATGGAGATAAGCCACAACAACAAGCCTTATTTTGCCGAAGTGGATTTTAAACCGCATTCACGATCCTCCGCTTTTGTTCGAAAACGTGAATAATTCACTTTCACACACTCATTCCATTTAACCATAATTTTGTACACATGAAAACTTGACTCATATACATCCTCTCGAAACCCACACAACAATTTCATTGATGCAATTCCACCAACAAATGATTTCATCGATATAGTTATCTTATCAGCATTCCACAAACATCTCATTCAACTAATACAACATTTTGGATATTTTTTAGATACAGATTTGATCTAGATATTAAAAAGCATAATACAAACACGAATACTAATGTTAAACTCCGTAGCCTTGTAATTTTGAACCCAATCAAGAAGACAAGGAAACTCATGGATCAAGAATTGGGAGAACTTCGCATTCGTGGAGGACTTTTTGGATGGAAGTAACCCGCATTTGGGTTACATGGTGAGGAAAACCACGGAAACCTTCCACTGTTACCCTGACAAGAAAGGGGTCTCTCTAACCCATGATCCATCTCCCACTGAAGATATTTTACGTCAGCTCTGTGGTCGGTGCATGCCGGGTGCGGAATTCGTATCGACCAGACATGGCTGGGATCCGAACCCGGTTCACCTCATTGAAAGGCGAAAGCTCTATCCCCTGAGCCACCACGGCTCAAACTTACAATACTTTAAAAAAGAAGTAAATCAATAATTTAGTGAATAATAAATCTGAGCTTCGCTCGGGGCGATTGCCCACCTTGTCCACCCCTTCCGCCGGTCCTGAATATTTGCTTAAAACGACAATTTCACATCTGTCCCTAGCAGCAAAATAAATTGGGAACTCATTACGCCAATATTCACCAATCTTGGCTCTACAAGGTTTTAAAGACCCATTATTTTGCCTTTACTGAACCGATATAGAAATGTTCGATTCACCCTATATTTAATAGCCACTATTCAGCCGATGTTTATCCTATATAAAATGCTCAAATTCACCCGATATTTTATTTACCTTATTTACACAATATCGGCCCTATACAGATTTCTTAAGTTCACCCCACATATTTTAAACTCGTTATTCAGCCTATATTGGTTCGATATAGAAGTATCACACGCAACCGATGTTTTATTGCCGTTATTCAGCCAATATAAACTCTACATAAAATTGTCTGATTGTCCCGATATTTAATATCCGTTACTCCGCCAATATGGAACATAAATAAAATTGTACGATTCACATAGCCACAATTCAGCCGATACTTTATTTCCCTTATTTTCACAATATCGTCCCAATGCAGATTTATTAAGTTCCCCCCATATCAGGGGTGGCGAACCTTTATGCACCAACGTGCCATTTTTTCAAAAAACTGTTTAATGAGGTCATAGACGTGCCGTCAAATAATTTTGACTTCGTGATTACTGGGAAAATAATAATACTAAATACTATTAACTCAAAACTCTTTATTTACTACGAAAAAAAAACTTTTTGCAATATCTCAGTTATACGCGTAATTTAACTTTAAGTAATATTAGTGTGACTTCTGTTGTTTCAGATTAATAGCTTATATTAGGTTGTAAGATGCTAGTTTAAGCAGGACTGTCAATTTTTGTTTTTTTGCTAGTTATTTATTGTTAGCTTGTTTTTTATAGTTATTGTTTTGTTGGCATTAATTGTAAATGTTTTTGTTTATAATTGTTTATTTTATTTATTTTTTAAAAAATTTAATTGTTAATAGGCTTCATAGTGAACTTTGAGATCGGTGGGGTGCCCAGAATATTTTGTCACGTGCCATAAATGGCACGCGTGCCATTGGTTCGCCATCCCTGCCCTATATTTTATAGTCACTATTCAGCCGATGTTTACCCTATATAAAATTTTCTAATTTCACCCGATATTTTATTTCCCTTATTTACAAAATATCAGCCCTATACAGGTTTATTAAGTTCACCCGATATTTTATAGCCACTATTCAGCCGATACTCATCCTAAAATGGCCAATTTCACCCGATATTTTCTTTCCCTTATTTACCCACTTTCGGCCCTATACAAATTTGCTAAGTTCACCCCATATTTTAAAGCCGTTATTCAGCCTCGATTGGTTCGATATAGAAGTGTCAGACTCGCCCGATGCTTTGTAGCCGTTATTCAGCCAATATAAACCCAACATAAAATTACCCGATTTTGGAGCTCAACTGGGGCCAATTTAAAATTGTTGCTGGGGTTATTATGAATTGTCGCTATAATGGACTTTTACTGTAACTATAAATTCGAAAGTCACGCACTGGAGAGGAAGATAGAAGGAACAAATAATAAAAAGGGACCATAAAAAAGAACTTACCTCTTCTTCCTGGAGCATATTTTCACTATCTAGCTCTCTTCTCAAGAAAGCATTATATTAGTGTCTTTTACAGAAACGCAACCTGTGTCAATATTGCGTTACAATTGAACACTATACTGAGCAGAGGAGGTGAAATCATTTGTTCCAGCGTTTTTCTTCTTCTTGGATTGCGATAATTCTTCTCATTCAAATGTTTCTTATCCAAAATAATTATTTTATTTATTTTGTCGCAGTTTCTTCGCAGTAGCGATCAACTCACGTGACTGTGTGGGCAAACCGTCAACATTAGCAAAGTGTCAACTTTAGGAATTTTCGTTATCCTGAAAACAATGGCTCTCGGAATTCTCTTGAAGGAACTATTTCATCCTTTTAAACGAAATTAATAAAATTAACCATCTACTGGAAATGACCCGGAGGTGCATGGACGTCCTTTTATTTATTTATCATTAATAGAAACTCGATAATTCAGGAGCAACAAAATGACACATTAAGTTCCGTATTTTGCTGAATATTCATTCAAATGTGTTTCACACAAAAAAGCAGTCGGAAGATATGACAATCGATATGGTAATCGATATGAAAGATATGGATCGATATATAACTGAATTCCAACTGAATCGCAGCAGCGTATAAACAAAAATAAGAGTTTTACCTTAATCCTTTAAATTATAACAATAGTTACGATAAAAACGGGAAAAAATGTTATAAATCATTGCATTGCAACTAAAATTCAAACAAAAATAATGATACTGATTCAATTGAAAAAGAAGGATTTGAACCTTCAGACCGTTACAAACATGTACAAATGGCTATAAAACTCTTTCGTCATAGTGCATAAAAGTCACCAAAAGAATAGTGATGATTGTCGTGTGTCACTCAAATTCAAATGAGGTTTTACATGAAATTCGAAAATGCCGCAATCTTTTAAAAACAATAGAACTTTCTCTGTGGTGAAAGAACATACATTAGAACAATTTATTGCCATGAAAATACCTTTTTTTTTCTTAAAAAAGAAAAAAACTGCGAGACAACATCATTAGATTCTATTCTCTTTCATTATACAGTTTTTTATTTATTATTAAATTAATGAGTTGAATAGCGGATTCAATTTTTAGCGAAAGAGAAGTTTAGTTGAGTCTCATACTTTACCGCTTGATCAGTTTCACTTCACAACAGGATAAAGACGAATAATCGTTTTCACTTTGTTTAATAATCGTTTTCACTGACACACGTTCATAAAGTCATCGATTAATCAGTAATGGTAAAAAGATTTTAACAATTTTAACTTTATGGTGAGTAAAAACATCATGGCCGTAGTTCGGGGAAATCTTGACTGTCCACTCTGTGAAGTTAGCGAAGAATGTGGCCATAAGGAACCTTTCTTCTGTAGCCGGTCAAGCGTAAACGTGACTACATAAGAACAAGAGAGAAAATAAACAGAGCGTTTCAATAAACACTGAACAAACAGAGGGAGTAACGAATTGGCCAGGTTTTGCCACACTAATCTAAACATGACGAAATGTAGGAAGCATGCAGCATAATTAATTTATTTGACAACAACACATGATTTTCTGTGTTGCAGAACCCAAATTAATTTAAATGCTTCATAAATGAGGCATTTATAAATTAGGCATTATCACTTCATAAATAAGCCTTATGTAACACATTTTGTTAACATAACGAAACAGACGATTACTTGGATTTGGAAGGAAAAAAAGTAATAAGAATCTGAATTTGAGAAGGAAAAAAAAAGTTTAATCATAAGAATAGAGATTTTATTTTCTTTTATAACCATCGTTGAACAGCCGACCCAATTTTTTGGGTTTTAGACTACTAATGCTCAACTCCGTAGCCTTAAATTTTGAACCCAATCCAGAGGGAACTCCTGGATCAAGTATTGAAAAGTTTACCTTTGCAGAGGACTTTAATGGAATTAACCCATATTTTGCTTTACATGGAGAGGAAAACCATGAAAATCTTCCACAGTTAGTCTGACGACAAGGGGATTCTAGCCCATGATCTGAGGTTATTTTACGTCGGTGTAAGCCGGATGCGGAATTGGTATAAATCAGCCATCGCCGAGATTCGAACATGCGTCACCTCATTGGAAGGCGAACGCTCTATCTCCTGAGTCATCACAACTCAATCATGAATAATTGTTAAAAACTTACACTAGTTAAAAATTATAGAATAGTATTCACCATAAAGTATTTTTCTTGTGGCTTCAGTTTTCAAAAACCTCCGTTCTCTACGTTATGTTGGTTCTTTTAATTGGTAATTACATAGATTTTTTATTTTTAGCAATACAGAATACATGAGCCGCGATGGCTGAGGGGATAGAACGTTCGCCTTCCTATCAGGTGCCCCGGGTTCGAATCTCGGCGATGTGTAGGTTGATTCGAATTCCGAACCCGGCTCGCACCGACCACAGTGCTGACGTAAAATATCCTCAGTGGTAGGACTGATCATGGATTAGAGTCCAATTGCCGTGGGAAAAATCGCTTATCCTTGAGACACCTATTTTCAAAAAGAATTGACACAACATTGGTGTCAATCAAAAAAACGCTTTNCGGTAGTAAATTCGGCCTGGACAGACCCCTGAGACTGATCATGGATTAGAGTTCAATTGCCGTGGGAAAAATCGCTTATCCTTGAGACACCTATTTTCAAAAAGAATTGACACAACATTGGTGTCAAACAAAAAAACGCTTTCTTAAAAATATTTTTTGTTATGTTTATGTATTGGGTCTCATCAAAATTTTAAAGATTACCACGATATATCGTCTGGAAGTATTGATATTTCACGATATTTTTTCAATTTCGTTTCTGAATTTAACGTAATTTTATCATTGGTCAATATTTCGATGACTTGAATCAAATTTATCAATACTCGCGATAATACTGTATTCAATAATTATCATTATTTATAATACTTTTCATTATCATCATATTTATTTGTTCTTATCTATCGCAATGTTATCGTGTGCCATAATTGTGGAGAACTACAATATTCGCAACATTTATATCGTACTCAGAATGAATCGTTTCTGATAAACGATAATCCCCAGTATATCGTCTGGGAATATTGATATTTCACGATATTTTTCCAATTTTTTCTGAATTTAACGTAATTTTTTTTCATTGGTCATTATTTCTATGACTTCAATCAAACTTATCAACACTCACGATAATTCTGTATTCAATAATAATCATTATCGATAATACTTTTCATTATTACGATATTTATGTGTCGATATCTATCGCAATGTTATCGTGTCCCATAATTGTCAAGAACTGCAATATTAGCAACATTATATCATACTCAAAATCCATCGTTTTTGATTTTATATACAATTTCCGATAATATTGCATTCAATAATTATCATTATTTATAATACTTTTCATATTATCATATGTGCCGATATCGATCGCAATATGATCTTATTCCATAAATTTCGAGAAATACAATTATACCGTACTCAAAATTAATCGTTACTGATTTTAATAGCAATATTCGTCGATCACATACATAAAATTCTCGATGTATCGGGAGAATTTTTAAAACACTCCAATTTTGTTGTCGAATAAAAATCGATATTACCTACGGTTAATATCGACGCTTATGCAGCAGCTTGCAAAGTACTAATGTAGTACTCTTTACATACTTTTTTTCAAAACGACCAAGATCACAAAAAAATATAGCTTCAAATAAATGAGTAGATAGATTAATTTCAGACAAAAAAAGTCGAATCATTCATTCTCCTCGTTTTCCAGCAAGATACTTTAATAAGAATATATGAAAGAGGATGACAAGTCCTACTTCTTGTGCCTTCCTCTTAAGAGAAAGAAATTCAAGGTCTTCAAAAACACGATTCGCTTTTCCAAAACAATGTGGTTATTAATTTTAAGAAAAATACATTGCTCTTTAATTTAGTTTTTGTACATATATAGATAGACATGGATGGTTGACAGTGTAAACTAAAGCTAAGCACAGATGGCGCTACAGGTTAAAATTCGTCACAAGACCTCCGGGTTACAACCTCAGATTGATTTTTACGTCCGAACTTGAAAAAGAGCGCCATCAAATATTATTTAAGGAGCGTAGCCAAATCTTTCAACAAAAAATAAGCACATTTTAAGTACTTTTTAAGCACTCGAAAAATATTTTTAAGCAACATATACATTAACAAAATACGAAATAATTTTCAGACTTTACATGATCATGATAAAATAACTAGTTTCTGACAAAGAACTCTTTTATTGATTATATTCATTAGAAACGAGAGCCATTAAAAACAGTCAATAGCAGCAAACGGCCGCAGACTTTGTGCCGGGGAGAGTTCTTACAGAAGACAAACTATAGTTTTTGCTCATCAAAAATTTAACATTAAGTTGAACATTCAAAACAGCGGCTCTTACAATATAGAGAGATTTATAAATGACAATTATCATTTAGCGCAGTGTTTCCCAAAGTGTGGTATGCGCACCCCCCAGGCGAACGGGAATAGTTTAGCGGGGGTACGCGTTCTTATGCGAAATATCTTGCAACAAACGAAAATTTAAACAAATTTTATTTAAAAACAAAGCTAGCCATGGAAATTTACAAATACGTATTTTTCTATTGACTACTTTTTGCAGAGTTAACAGTTAATAATGAGTGGTGTCAACAGCCAGTTCTGATTTTTTAACTTTTGGGCAATTTTTTTATAGTTAAAAATACATTCATTCTTTTTATGAGTGGTACACAGCGTTACGAAAAATTTAGAAAGGGTACACAAAAGTCTAAGTTTGGTAAACACTGATTTCGCTTTTATTTTACACATGTAAATTATAATTTCAATTGTATAGGCACTTTGAACCTTAATATATTGTCCTTCATAATAGATACTAGGGTTCGTAGCCAAATCTTTCGACAAAAAATAAGCACCTTTTAAGTANAACGCAACCGACAAAAAGTTTGGCAAGGGGAATCGAACTCCAGTCGAAGTCGTGGTAAGCGAAGAATGTACTTTCATTCTTTACACCGAATTAGCGGCTGCTTATTATGCTATGAGCAACGCTATATTGAAATATTTGAAAATAAAATTGTTTTATTGAAATGCACAGGAA